AGAAATCTGACAACCATATGTGAAAATGCTCTCTACTTTTTCACAAACGAAAACTCCACTCCATGTATGGCATGCAGCACTTCTACTTATCTGTGGTAGGAAGGGGAAATAACAGCAAATTTTAAACTAGCCAGGGAGAAATCCCCATTGCTAATGTCAAAATAGACTAGAAATGGACATAATAAATGTCAATCTCTCAAGTTTCTTAAATTACAAAATTTAAGAAGAAACCAATTCCACAATATTGTATCTACCGTATAATAGTCTGAAATAGTTTTTTGTTTACAATCCTGTATTTATAGAATTGATTTATATTTACTTGTATTGCATTCAGGGTTTTTTTTTCATTCAAACTTTCCTTCTAGCTCACTTTAGTTCCTTCATATCTGCAATTGTGTGTACTCTGGACCCAATGATCTATATGAATAATCTATATTCTGTGTACTATGAACAGTGTACATAGAATATATACACAATACCGATTATGGCAACATGTTCTCAAGTTGGGAGGCATTGTCTTAATTCTTTCTCATGGGTGGATCTCTCCCTGCTGGACTTGGAGTTTTTCAGGGTTGTCTTCTACTACAGTGGAGAAGGACCTGTTTAATCATCCACCCTGATGCCTGATGGACCCAGTGAGGATCCAAATGGGATTTGGGAAAGTTCCTAAGCATTGGTACATGCTTCAAAGATGAATTATTAATCACTGCTTGGAATGAGGAATCAATAATGTCCTTCAATAGCTACCCAAACTTATCCTCCCTAACCAGTCCTATTTGTTTCGACTATCATTCCCAAAATTCCCAGGCAGCATGGGAATCCATTTGAAGGGATTCCATTTGAAGTTGGAATTAGAATTGTAATAGTAGTAACAACAACAATAAGAGCAATTCCCTTCATATTCAAAGTCTTTAACAGGACCTAAATACTATATGGAGGAATAGATGAAATGTTGCAATCATTACTTCCTGCTATTTTAATAATATTTATATAGTTAATTTCTAATGAAAGTGGTTCTTTTCAAAGTAAAACATTCATTTCAAAGATTTTGGAAGAATGTCAGATCTGAAATGTTTATGTAGCCACAAGCCTCTGAATAAACTGAGACTTTGCAATAAACTTCTAAAATATGAGGCACTTCATTAATGTACATTCTTGTCACTGGAATTTCAGTACAAGGGAAGTAGAAGTTTCATGAATTGTTTCCATATGGGCTTTAAAAAGACTTCATTGTTGTAGAAATGAGACAGTCAACAATTCTAGAACTGAAAGGTTTGGTTAGTTTCAATCAATTCAAAGAATCTTGGAACTGTATCTGAACATTGTTCTTGTTGTGTTGGGCCATTCCTCGGTTTTCAATGTCTTAGATGGCATATGGTTATGTTGTCATCATCAGAACTGTACACAAGAGAGACTGCAGTGGTTAGTTCTTTTTTTTTTTAAGTGAGCATGAGCTTTGATAACCATCTGGTAATGAACCACAGTGGTTCTTTAAAGAATTGTTAAAGATATTCCCTTGGAAAATAAATAAGGAACAGAGCTTTTAAGTACAAATTAACAAGGGAGGCCAGAGGATGAAAGACCTAATCAAGTAATGATTGGGTTATTTTCTTCCAGCTTTATTTGTAATTTAAATCATAAAAAATATGCATTAATGTTTATATTATTTAAATAAAAGTACTGTAAATGTTATTTTTCAGTGGGTCAAGATCTTTTATTAAAACCCACTGTTTCACAATCTGAAATTATGCAATACATTTTAATAGAGCTAAAGGGCTAATTGTAGAGCTGTAGTGAAATCTTCAAAATAAAATAGTAAAATTTGATGAATGAAATATTTTTGATGCCCTGGAAATAACTGAAGTTTCCCCTTGCAGTTATAGGTATTAGTATTGTCATGAAGACCTCCTCGACTTCAAAGGTTGCTAACAGTCATTGGCCATGATATTTGAGGACTGGCTGAAAACTGCATTAAATGGACTTGTTGCCAGGGGTGGGATTCTACCAGTTCGCACCTATTCGCTAGAACCAGTTGTTAACATTCTAAGCAGTTCAGAGAACCGGTTGTTAGAAGCAATTACTGTCCTAATCCTGTAAGGAAGGCAGGAAGGAAATATTCTGGTGTTGCTTACAGAAACTGCCTCTCTGTTAACCCTTATTACTTTCTTGGCAGGATTAGACTTCCTATCTCAGGAACTTCTCTGGAGTTTTTTTCCCCTTCTTTGCTGGTACTTTGCTTGCGTGGAGTGACCATTCAAAGTTACAATGGCACTGAAAAAAGTGACTTATGACCATTTTTCACACTTACAACTGTTGCAGCATCCCCACAGTCATGAGAGGCCAGGCGAGGAGATGCATGCCTCAATGTGAGTGAGGTTGAGTTGGCCACGCCCAGCCAATAACATGACCACCTAGCCATGTCCACCCAGTCACATGACCACCAAGCCACGCCCACAGAACCGGTTGTTAAAAGTTTTGAATCCCACCCCTGCTTGTTGCCCAAACAATGGCTTTAATTTTTTAGCAGCTGCTACTTCCTGTAGCTTTAAGAAGCATGCACAGAGGATTCTGCATCAACACTTGGGCACCAACGCTCAATTCAGTTCTGTATATGATTCCCTTTTCTCCAAATCTTTCCATGCAGGATTTGAAACCGAAAAGCAAGGTGAGTATTAGATGAACTAATAATCACAAATCCTCACAAATATATTCCATACACCTCCTTTAGATGACAGAACAAAACAAAAGCATGAGTTTTACTGTGTCTGAATATGACTGTTTGTTACTACTGGCTCTTTTCCAAGAGCATGAGTATAATTTAGCTGTCCACAATTTGTTATCAACAAACATTATTTCCATGTCATCTGCAAAGTATTTCCAAGCACACTTAATCAGACAGTGTCCCCATGAACTAATTTGCAACAAACTATGAGATCAATCTCTGCTTATTTTTCAATGTATATCCAATATGCTCACATATATTGTACCTTCCCTTGGTTTCCCTGTGCCTAGATGATGTTATAGAGTATCCTCAAGGTAAATAGAAGGAGCGGGCTGTATTCTAGAAGAAAAGTGTGTTGTACCTGTTTATGCCTCCTGTAGAGATGTATTTGTTGATGACCTTCACATTAATTTGTTAACCTAAACTCTTACCTAAAAATAAAAACACACAACCATCTGTGCCCAGTTGTTCCTACCCATCCTATCAGATGCAGCACAAAGGGAATACTCCAGGCTCCATCAACAAGGGATTGCCATCTGGCAGGCTCTCGGAAAGAGAGCCTTTTGTGCCATGATGCCTGCCTTTGGAATATAATCCTTCCACATAGCAGACTGGCCCAACCCCACTAGCTTTTCATAAGGCCTTGAAAATCTGTTTCTGTGTCCAAGCCTGGGTATGTGATGGAGCCTGTCTCCTGGCTATGTTAGTACTGTTTTTATGTTTCCCAGCTGTTGTGTGTTTTTATTTTTTGTGTCGTATATGTTTTGTCTACTTTATGGTGAGCTGTGTGTGGATGGCTATATAAATTGATGAAATAAATAAATAGTCTGATAGCATGTGTACTCGAGTTTCAAATAAACAGAATGTAAATGTTCTCTTAATTGTATGCACACAAACAAATTCATCACGCTATTCCATTTAGAGGTAAGCAATATTGTGGAAAGCACATTCTGAATGTTGTAAATACACTACCCACACCTCCTGGCTGGTGAGATGTAGATAATGGTATGCTTACAAGACTGTTTCTAGATTAGAGCTTCTAACTTGCATAGAACATTGTGACCATGTTTGGGGTAAAACTGGCCTTTTAATTTGTTTTGTGGCATACTAGCCAAAATGGACTGACCTGAGCATAAAGAAGGAATCTACATATGATACTAACAAATCAAGGCTGGTGAATCTAGTTTACATCTTTTCTATTTTGCTAAAAGTGAAAATCAGAATCTTAGTTTGAAAATATAATCCAGGGTTATTTCCTAGAAGTTGCATCCTAGGTATATTTGTGTAGAATTGGAATCCAATAAGATTTTTGAAAGACAGACTGGATTTTACAATTCTCCCTTTCTGGACATTTTCCTTCACCTTCAATTCAGTGACTTTTTCTTTCAGCCCAGTGTTGACCATTTGTCACTTTTCATGCTTCTAACTCGTCTCTTAAGAATAAACACAAAAAGGAACCACTTTCTGAAGAGTAAAAGCCTGTGCTTTGCAGAAAATGTTTGGGACAAAAGAAAGCCTGTGTCACCAGCCTTCTTTGATTTGGTGATTCAAGGTTGAGGCTACAATTTCCAGAAATTCCAGCAGCATAACAGCTTGCCCACCCTCAGCATTAATATATCTTTACGATCATAAAAATAACTTGGGGGCAGTGCTTTGTCACAGCCAAGAGAGTTGAACCACCTGGGTTTGAATATGCATCATCCTTTACTTTTACCACAGAGAATATTTTGAGTCCAAAATGTCTTCGTTACACATATTTCTCAATCATGATTCCACTAAAGATAGATGAAATAACCTCAGTATAACTGGAAGACAGAAGGGATCCTAAGAATGATATTCTATAGCTCCTCAGCAGTACTCAAGGCCCAAATCAAAAGAAAGAATGCTTGACGGAAAGCATTGGCAGACACCTAAGCTGGCCTCTCATTTGACAAGCTTACAAGTAGTAAAAATATGGCTTAGGGTCAGATTCTATTCTTTCCTGCATAGACTTAATGAATGGAATGCATGATGTGCTTACTAAGCAAGGGCTAGATAAACATGGAAAAAATCTAGCAGAGCTGTGTCACTGACCACTGTGGTTATATCAGCTATGTAGCTGGAAAGAGAAATTCCATTGCAATGTATCAGTTACTTTTTATATATCACTGCTAATGAAGACTTCATAGCCGTTAAGTCTTCATCATTATATATCATAACAGTTTAGATGAGATCAACACATTCTTGTATAGTGTCACAAAATGTTCCAAAAGCAGTTTTACTGTGGTTTTCTTTAAACAAAAAAAATCTTATTTTAAAATGCTGTGTTTTTTCACCTTGGCTGCAGCCAGATGTATTGTTCCTCATCATTTTGAAACTCAGATCTCCTTTATATTGGGGAGTGGGGTGTGTTATCCAAGTCCTTCACCCCCAAACAGAGGCCTTGAGAACTATTGGTGGTGAGAGGAATCAGTTAGGCGGAATGCATCATTATGAAGGGTTTGCATTTTCTTTCCTTCCATTCCTCTTCTTGCTTTTCTCATCTCTAGCTTTTCTTTGAGCACAAAAAGGGGCTGCGTTAAGATGAGGTCTTCCCTTTCAGAAATCCTGCCTTCTCGACAGGGCAGAGCATGTGTTCATTGTATTAGATACAAAGACACATGAAACAGAAAAGACGATCATTTATATAAGTTTGAACATATAAGCCTACTACTATTTCTGTCTGCTCTGGCCGTTGCTCTCTGAGGCATAAAAGCTTTCCCAGATACCAGCTTTGAGCAAATTCTCTTGGGATTGTAAACATCAGTTTCAGAACTCTGAGCCATTCTGCTTGGCTGCTCTGTGTAAAGCCTCATTTAGAAGCCTCTTCTTTAATTACCTGTGAGCAGGCACCTTTGCCTTTTGGTGAAAATGTCTGAGGCAGATTTGTTAGACAAGAGAGGAGGTTGTTGGTGTTGTGGTTAGGCTGTGTGAACTGAGGTTTTATGTCTGTCAAGGAGCAAGGCCTGGCTCTGCTGGAAGAAAACAGCACAGTTGGAGAAACAATCCTTGGGGGAAGAAGGAATTCTTGTGTGGCAGAAGATCCTGCGGGAAATACACACAATCCAGAAATATTGTGTATTAACAATGTGCACAAATTATTTGCTATAAAAATTACTGAAGCTGTAACCAACACTTCGTGAAAATAACTGTATGTGTGTGGATGAGTGTCTGGATAAGTGCCTATCCCTTTCCCACCTTCCCACCAGGGTCCCAAAATTGAGAAGGGGTCCCTATCTAAAGTAGGGGGTCTCCAATTCTGGACCATCACGGGTACGCAACATGCCAGAAACTGAGCTATGCAAATGAGCAAAACCCCATTTCTGCATGCATGGGATGCAACATGCAAAACCACAGGTCCTACAGTCCGCAGAAAAACCTCTCTCCGCTGAACCAGTCCCTGGTGCTCAAAAGGTTGGGGCATGCTGATCTAGAGCGGGTAGCCTAATGCATCTACCAGGGACACCCATAAAAAAATGCAAGCTGTGGCCATAACTGCATAACTGCAGGCCATAAAACCTGCCACTTTGTGCATGTGTATGGGTGCTTGTAAAAAGAAGGCTTCTCTTTTGCCATTTTGAAATCAGTGGACCACCCACTAAACTACCACTTTAAGGCATCCATATTCTTTCTTTCTCATCCTCCTTTTATTTTTTTTAACGGTAGCTATGCCATACTACAAAGAATAGAGCATGGCAATAAATTGTGACACAAAAAAAGAAAATTCAATAAATATTAGCTGTGTACTCCACAATTACAATTTAACAAATAGTTTAAAATTCTAAAATCCAGGATCTAAAATTTTCTGCAACTATATATGCTCAATTTTGGGGGTTGTTGTTTGGCACTTAAAATTCTCATCTTATCAACAAGCATACGGGATAATAGGAGGGAGTACGTACATGAGAGAGCAAGGGCTCTTGTTCGGGTGCATTTCCTTCTGGCTATCTCAGATATCAAACCATTTTGACATAAGAAATGGCTGCCCTCAAAACCAAGGTCTTTCCTCCCAATTAAGAGTGATATCTCCAATTACAGAGGCACCATACAATTGTTGGGGCACCATTCCTAGGATCACTGGAATACTGGATCAATCCCACATCTATTTATTCCTCTGAATGCTGTTTGGGAAAATATATAACAAATTTTAAATGCTAAGTTGTTGTAATAAACAGCATGTTTCAATGTTTGATTATATGCCATCACTACTGCAATTGAGTCCATCCATGTTATTGTTGGTTGCGTTTTTTCTTTCCTTCAGCCTTATCCAGAATGTAAAAACTCCTCAAGGGAGTTGGATTTTTGCATAATAGTCCAAACTGATATCATTTAAACCTGGTCATTTTGTTTCCTAAAACTGCTTAAGTGTTTTCACACTCTAGTCATTCATTTCCCTTTGTCTTTGAGTTCAGGTCACAAGATCTTGATTGCAAAACTCAAGATGATTATTCTACTGGAGGAAAGAGATAGAGATTTTAATATCTCTTTGATGTCATCTGGAGGTTGTCTGGACTTTTGCAACTGAGATGGCCTATTAGAACATGCATTTAATTTCATCTTTCGCTCCCTGTTTATCTATGGTTTTTTTCTCTTCATTATATTTATTCCTCTTTGAAAATTTCACAGAAAGTTTTGTTGTGAATCTTAATGGCAGGAAACATGGATTCCTTTGTAATCTCTGGGCAACCTAAGACAAGTGCTCATAATATGCATGTTGAAAAAGTAATTCCAATCCAGAAAGGGAGCATGGTTTGTGAAACTTCAAGAGCAATAATACTGCAGTTGAATTCTGGCAAGTGATTGAGCTGGCACAATGAGTTTACATGATTATTCTACCTACAGTCTGCCACTGATCCTAATAAAAATTTTAATGTAAAACTTATTTAATTTTAGCAACATGCTAAAAAACAAATGCTCAGCATTTAATGAGCAATTATACATATTGGAGAAAATATATTTTTTACTCTTCTGAGTTATAATAAAGAAAGGAGCCAAATAATAAGCAGAGTAGTTGGGCTAGGGACAGTTAATAATGATTAGGAAGACCTAGAGCCATGATGGCGAACCTATGGCATACGTGCCACAGGTGGCATGCAGAGCCATTTGTGTAGGCACGCGAGACCCAGCCAAACTTACCTGCACTGCATATGCACGTGCCTCCCAGCTGATTTTCAGCCCGTTTGAGGCCATTTTTGCCCTCCCAGAGGCTCGAGGAAAACCTCTGCAGCCTCAGGAGGCCGAAAAACAGGCCTTCCAGAAATACTAGAAGTGCTGTTTTCAGCCTCTGGGGGTGGGGGGTGGGGTTCAGGAGAGGCCGTTTTTGCCCTCTCAGAGGCTCGAGGGAAACCTCTGCAGACTCAGGAGGCTGAAAAATGGGCCCTCTGGAAATATCAGAACTGCCAAAACAGGACTGTTTTCAGCCTCCTGAGGCTGCAGAGCCTTCCCTCGAGTCTCCAGAGGGCAAAAATGGCCTCCCCCAGGCTCCAGAGGCCCTCCGGAAGCAGAAAAAGGGCACTTCCGGTATTTCCAGTAGGCCCGTTTTTTTGGCTCATGAGGCTGCAGAGGCTTCCCAGGAGGGTGAAAATGGCCTCAAACAGGCCGAAAATCAGCTGGGAGGCACGCGCATGTGCAGTACAGGTAAGGGGGAGGGGCAGGGTGATGCGCATGCATGCACGGGGGGAGAGGCGCATTGCAACATGGGTGCTGACACACCATAACAAAAATGTTCGCCATCACTGACCTAGAGTGACCTCAGTCCCTCTCCATTACACAGGAAAGTAGCCCAATCCCTTAGGCAGTTTGAAAAGACAATATCTGTGCTTTAAGGAATTCATTCAATAAAGTAACATTTAAAGAAGTAGCACCTTTTAAAGAGTTGACATTTTGTACACAACATTAGGAAGCAAGTAAGACTATGATGGACACAGTAAAATCTTTACCATAATGTGCAGGAGGCAGGGTGGGATTCAGCCAGTATGGACCAGTTCGGGTGAACTGGTAGTTCAGGCGATGAGTTGGCCCCATTCACCCACCCACTGCTAGTCTGTCCTATATTTCCTTTGTTTGAAGCCCAGCTGATAGGCGCAGCAGATTGCCACACCTCAGCTGTTTCACTCACCGGGGCTGCAGTAGAAGGTACATTTTAGACCTGTTTTCAAAGGCAGCCCGCATGCACCCCTCATGTTTGGCGCTCTCACCAAACCAGTTGTTACATTGGTTGAATCCCACCATCGGCAGGAGGGATCCTCTTAGGCTCTGCAATCCTTTTACTGACAAGGGTTATCGTATTTTGGGAGGGTTCATGGAATTAAGGTGATGTCGTTGAACATAATTTTTTAAATGGGGGATGGGTGGGATGTTACAAATAAATTTCAGTAAAATAAATAAGTTAAACCCACTGGAATTCTAATATTCCTAAAATAAATATTAAAAGGTAGATGATATAATTCACAATTGAGTTAATTTCAAGGACATCATCTTCAGGGCTCCATACTCTGAAAAGAAAATGTAGTGAATAAAAATCCAGTTGCTATACATATTTGATGTTTATTGTGTCTTCTTACCATAAAGATATAATAAAGATTTATCTAATTTAAAAATCCAATTGGGATACAGCTGACAAAGTTCAACTGAGAACAAAAGAATTTTCCCAGAAATAGGTTTGAACTGGAGACCATGAAAAAAATTCACTGAAATACAAATTGGTTTATTGACAATGCTGGAGGGAAAGGCAGGTCTAAACAGGGGAGGGATTACAACCCATTTATAATTAATGCAAATTAGGATATACATGTGATTGGACGCAGGTGCAAAATATTTGATTTGATATAAACAAAAGCAACTTTTTCTTGAGACCATTGAGACAATTAGTGTGCAACTCTGAAGTAATGGGGCAGAACTACAAAGACAATTGGTTTTTGAAAGGTCAAAGGTTTAGTATCCATAAGCATGATTTTTTTCTGAGCTTGGTTGGTTTTTTTTGCAGATGTTTCATTTCCCACTGATGATTTTACCTAGTTTGGGTAATGAAAGTCTGCAAGAAAAAAACCAAGCTTAGAGATCCAGCAAGGATCCTTCATTTCAGCCCTGAGCTACAAATTTTATCCTTTATAGTTTATTTCTAGGGAGTTACTTTCTTTTGCTTTCCTCTGCTCACTTCCTGTATCTTTTTTTCAGCTTATTAGCATTACTTGATCTTCCAAATGTTCAATAGCTAAGCTGTCATAAGTTAAGTGTAAATGTCAAACTTTATCCAAACCACTACTGAAATTAGAAGACTTGCTGGTGAAGATTCAAGGACATGGCTTTGAATTTATTACAGAGAGTAGAAAATCCATTAATGAAGAAATCCAGCAACTGTTCACATAAGAAAGAAGCCATGTGTACAGTAGAAGCAAGATTCAACTCTTTCGCCTCTTTCCCCAGCTTGTGTAATGACTGGAGAACTTCTTATTCTTAGGCAGAAGGTGTGGTTGATATCAGTGCATCGTTATTGTAACAGACAAGTCTGCTGTCTGGCCGTTTACTTTTGATCTTGTTCAATTTGGAGCATCTTCTTTCCACTTATTTGCCTTCCTTTAGGAGTGCAGGCCCAGAACAGAATATGATCCTCCTTCTACCTTCCTCTGTTTATCATCTGAAACTGAAGAAATCTCCCTTCCCCTTCTTATCCAGCAGAATTGGGGGTAGATAAGTTCTCCAGTAAGCTGAGAGCAGCAGGCACAAGTGAGATACAACAAACACAGGACATTCTAGAAGTCCGATTTGCTTTCAGGATCTTGGAACTATATAAGGAAAAACTGGATAAACTTGATTGTGTAAGAAGAACTATTTTATTGTTAAGAAACACCGTGTTTTTTAAACTTGGCAAGGCAGGGGAAATAGTCTTTGTCTCTTGTTAGCAAGCAGAGAAACATTGATGGGATTACTGGTGTGTTGCCCAGTTACTTTGTTGCAATGTCCTTATTAGGTCTGCCTCAAGCAATCACAAGGGCTGGATCTCTGCTGTCTCTACTTTATCTCATTCTGTAAGAGTGAGCAATACT